GTAGGATGAAAACAAGGTCTAATACGTCAGATTTCCACAGTGTATTCTGAATGTCAAAGTATACCTGAACCAGAACATGATAGCTGGTATATTTCCAGCCATTTGTTTTTGAAAAACTGAATAATCACACTGGCTGACTGGACTGTTAACATACAAATATCCTGCTATCAGAATTGAGTCTATATTCGTTGGTAGTTTTGTGTTTAAAAACTATCCATATAATGTGTTTTATGAAGTTTAATTGGAAACTTGTGAGAATATCTGTTAATGCCATCCGAAAGGTTATGTATTTATGTAGATCAGTAGGAAACAGTAGAGTTCAGAGTGATGCAAGAAATTCAGTTGCCTCATTGATGTACAGATGTTAGAATTTTAGGAGATTGGACAATTTTGTATTCTTTTGAGTATCCTCAATGGTAGCAAATGACTGCCTTTTTGAGTGTGAATTTAACTTTTTTTGGTGGAAAACAATTTTTTTTTTATTAATTTTTAAAAATTTTTTACATCATTAGTTCATTTTCAAACAATATTTGCTTCCCCCCACCCCCTCAGTTGTAGATCCCATAGAGTTTCCTTCACTAATGCACCATCACCTCAATCCTTTGTGCTTCTCCCTTTCTCCCTCTGATCCCTCTCCCTCCTCCTCCTCTGCAGTATGTCTCTGATTTATAATTGTCTGTTTTTGCTTTGTTGTGTTTTGTACTGTTATTATTTTACACTGATGTCTTATTTGGTTCCCCTATATTCCTGCTATAAGTGAAACCATCCAATATTTTTCTTTTTCTTCTGGCTTGTTTCACTGAGCATAATTTCTTCTAGCTCCATCCACGTTGCTGAGAATGGCATGAGTTTATCTTTTTGATTGCTGAATAATACTCCACTGTATATATAAGCCACATCTTCTTGATCTAGTTATCTATTTTTGGGCATTTGGATTGTTTTCAGGTTTTACCTATTGTAAAGAGTGCTGCAGTAAACATAGGTGTACAGGTGTTCTTTTGAATCAATGTTTTTGTGTCCTTTGGGTAGATCCCTAGGAGTGGAATTGCCAGATCGTATGGTAGCTTCATTTTTAGTAGACTGAGGAACCTCCAGACAGCTTTCCAGGGTGGTTGGACCAGTTTGCACTCCCACCAGCAATATAGGAGAGTTCCTTTTTAACCACATCCTCACCAACATTTGTTGTTGTTTGTTTTTTTGATATGTGCCATTCTTACTGGTGTAAGGTGGTATCTCAATGTGGTTTTGATTTGCCTTTCCCTGATTATTTGGGATGTTGAACATTTTTTTCATATGCCTGTTAGCCATTTGCATTTCCTCTTTGGAGAAATGCCTTTTTGAGTATGAATTTAACTTTTAAAGATACTCATAGTCATTCATATATTATAGGGTACAGTGAAAATTGGTAGTTCTAGAAGGTATGTCAGAAACCTTACCTTTTTATTTGTGCACATTGATATAATAATTATACTGACAGGAATTTATTCTGATGAGCATTAGATGTATGCAAGGAATGTTTGTGGTATTATAGTAAAAATTTGGAAGAAATCCAAACAACAGTGAATTAAAAAGTAGATTTGGAACAACCACTCAGTTTGTACTATAGAGTCATTAATGCTTACTATTTTTCAAAACCTCTAATGAGGTAGAAAAAGTAGAAAAAGAGCAAAGTATTAAACGGCATGTGAAAAACTCCATATATACACACACAAACACACACATATATACACACACATACACACACACACACACACGAATGTATTTGAAAATGTAAAACATTTATTCCAAGGCAGTAGAATTGAGGACATTTTTATCTGTTTTTCTTTTAATGTTTGATAATATACTTTGAAGCAAGAAAAAATTTCAAAGAAGTGAGAGATTATAGATCCTTTACGCATGTGTCTGGTGATTAATGTGGGTGGCCAAATGGGTTTTGCTCAGTAATAAAAGTATTAAAGCCATTGTAAAATTATTTGAAATAATAACATCATTGAAGTAAGTGAAGACTTTCTCAGCAAGAGTAACTTGGAAAACAGCAGTAATTTGGATTTGGAAGTTTTGAATTTTTTTTGATAGTGGTGGAGACTACACTTTAGATTGAAATGTAATTAATCTTTTTCTGTTGCTGTACTCCCTCCCCACCTTGGTCCTACATCTACTTCTCCCTTCCCCCACAAGATCCCTCCATTCTTTAGTCACTTTTCCAGGGCTAGTTTTAAGTTTGGTGTTATCTGTTCCTGTGATTAGTTTCTTTATAGTCTCATTATAAATGATACCATCTGGTTTTTGTCTTCCTCCTTCTGATTTACTTCACTTATCATATAGATTGAAATATAATTGATACAGTAAAGTGCACTGATCATAAGTATATCATTCAATTAGTTTTTTAAAATTATATACTTTTGAATAACCAACACTTAAAATAGAGCTAGTATGTGTATGTAAATATATCATTGTTTTATTTAGATATTTCCATCCTCAAATAATTCCTTAAAGTAATTTAGAGTTTTCTGGGTGTTTTGCTAGTTCTTAGGGTCATATGTCTTGATGTCACTGTTTCATGGTTTAGTCAGGAGCACCATTTGTGTACAGCCTCAACAGTAATGTCCAATTTGCTGTGTTGGTTTTTCAGTGCTCACTTTATGGAAGGCAGAGAATGCCTCCTGTCCTCACGTAAGAAGCAGCAGTTCCCAGATGCCTAGTAGTGATTCCAACGAAGTAGTTCTTTCTAGCAGGGCCAGAGGTACAGGCTTTATGAAATTCCTACCGAAGAGTGTAAAATTGGATCCATTTGTTACTTTCTACTTTCCTTCTTATTTATGGGGATGGATGAGAGCAGAAAAACTGTCTTTATTGTGACTGTTCCCCCCTTTTGAACAATTTCTGGGATACTGCTTTGTCAACATGTTGAATTGACTGGAGAAGGATTAGAAGGGTGATAAATAAGAGATAACTTCTTTTTTGCCATAACCTCTGGTCTCGCAGCAATTTATGATCAAAGAGATTGCTGTAACATTGTAATGTGTTCCTGAAACTACCTCATATGACCATCTTTCGCCAAGCCATCCTGAACTGCCCCTGTCAACACTTGAACAAAACTCAAGAAATGGGGGTTTCTTCCAGTATTGAGCCATGGGAAATATTCTTTTTTCAGATACTTCCAACCAAAATTAACTCTGAGTGGCAGTTCTATATTATTACTGGGCTTTTATTTCTTAGTTCTTAGAACTAAAGATTCCTTTGAAAGACCTCCTGGCAGATTAGTTACTTATTCCAGTAGTTTCTGTAGCAAAAGAAGCCTTGTGAAACTTGAAATAATAGCTATCATATATTAGAGTTTCTTATGTTCCAGGTATAATGTTGAACACTTTCATGGTTCAGTTTATATTATGATTCTTATAACAAAACCCATTAAGTTGTAGAGATTATTTTGGCTACATTTTGCAGATGAATTCATTGAAACTAAGAAAGGAAAGTATTTAAGGAGGAAGCAATGGTGCCAATTCTCAAACCATAGGTTACCTGATTATGGGAACACTGCTTCTAGCTCCTGTATTTTCTCCCCAAGTTGATCCTCCAATCTCTTTGGACTTGAAATTATTGTGTATGATTGGTGGTGTCTTTTCTGTAAAGTGTCTAGTAGCTGGCTTTCTGCTTCTGTGTATACTTCTCAAGAAAGGTAAACCACTGAACCTAACCCTTCCAGAGTAAAAGGAATTCCCAGTTAAAAGGGCCATTTTTGATCTTGTGCAGTCAGTCCCAAGACTTTTGAGAATTGAGAATTGAGCATTACTATGGCCTTTAGCATTCCCACATTGCCAAGTAATTTCCATTTTTCATTTCCATTTCCAGCGCACACACGACTCCAGGAGCCCCATCGCTTGTTAGAGAACCCCTGTGTCCCGAGAACAGTGCAGCATTCAGCCCATCACTGGTCTCTCCTCCTTCATTCAGCACTGCCAGATGCCTGAATGCTCATGCTGAAATAACTTGATAACTGCTGAATCAACCCTGATCTTGTTTAAAAGCAGGCTTCATTGTGTGTAGCTTGGATATGGGCTTCCTGAAGACATGGAATATGTCTGTTTTGTTCTCTGTGGCATTTATAGCACCAAGTATTAGGTCCTGAGTGAGTTCTTGCTGAATTATCAGATTTAGCACTACCATTTGTTCATCCCTTATGGGGAAATGTGGGGCTCTAGTAATACCCTCAGGCCATTGCCACTAGACACCTGAGAACTGCCAGACAACTAAACAGTCCCATGTCCTGCTACTGACTCAGAAACAGCCATTATTCACCTGCTCCATGGGGAAGGTTTGGTTTTATGCTGCATCCCATAGAGCTCAGCTCTTGTCCGGACCAGGGGCAGGTACTTAACAAAAATCTGAGAATTATCAAATAATGGGAACCATACTTAAGAAGTGGTAGAGAAGAGAAACATCACATATAGAAGATTCTAAGCACTAGGCTAGAGTGAAAAATGTTTTCCTTGACAATTTAGTGAAGCTGTCACATTTCCATCTTCCATCACTTGATGTTCCTCTGAGGTCTTGAGTCCTGGAACATGAAACCCTTTCCTGCTAGGTTCTTGATGCTTTCAGTTATTTATGGAATTTATCTTGCTCCTAATTACAACACTACCTTCTAAATAATAAAAAGAATTCTGCATATTTATGCATATGTTTACAATATGCCTTCAGATTTTACTTTTATCTGGATATCATTTGTTCTGTGTATAGGATAACACAGACTTCTGGGCTATAATGTCTTTGACTGTGAGAGAGAGAGGGAGAGGGAAAGGGAGGGAGGGAATGTGAGAATTAGATTATTTCTGGGCATAATCTAAGTAAATGATGTGAAAGTAATTTAAAAAACCTTTGTAATATAACTCCTGCAATTTTATGATAAAACTGTTACTATAATTGTTAGCAAATAATGAATTCTTCATTCAGTTCAAACACAGGCAAATACGATAAATTTTTGTTTTCGTTTTTTGCAGGCAAGAAAACTGATCAGTGACTTTGCCATTATTTTGTCCATTCTCATCTTTTGTGTAATAGATGCTTTGGTAGGTGTGGATACTCCAAAACTAATAGTGCCAAGTGAGTTCAAGGTAAGTGAACTTCCTTCCATCTTTTGGACATTCCTGGAAGCATTTGATCCTTTCTTCTGTTCTAGTTTATCATCAGTCTCTCTTTGAGTTAGTTTTGTACAATTATCTATTTCTTTAATTTAAAAAAAATCCCTTGCTAGGCATATATATATATATTATATATATATTCTTTTTATTGAATTTATATGCCTGACTAAGATTAAATACACAGTTCCCATTATTATGATTTTTAGTAGAAATACCTTTAATAACATCACAAACTCTGATTTATATTTTTAGAGCCTTTTAAGATATTTAAAATATTTTCATACAGACTTCACCTTGATTCATATAATTATAGAATGCAATATAGCTATCATACTAATTATGAGCTTAAGATTGAAGTTCATTAAAATAAGATAAAATGCTGGAAGATTACAGAATGAACCCAATGCTCTTTTACTGCTACCAAACTACTTGCCATATTTATACACATGTATATTTGTTGTTTTATACATGCATTTACATATAATATGCATTTTAATTATTACCAAAGAGGGATAGTATTACTCATTTTATAAACCTGTTGGCATAAGCAGACCTAATATGTAAAATTTACATTTCAGCCATTCTTAGATATCCCTACTTAATTTTCTATTGTAAGTATTTCACTCATTTTCTGGACTAATTCTAACTCCCTCCATCACTGAGATTTGCACTTGATAAAAAAAATTTCACTGCAAATTTCACATAATATCTTAATAAGGAAGGGATCTCTGTTATAGCAAACAATATTTTTGGCATTTTCTCTTCCATCATGTATTCATTAGCAAAGGTAAGTTCTCAGTCATCTAATTACTAATTCACTTAATTCAATATTTATTGAATTTCACGTGAGCCTGGACTTATAGTTTTTGAAATATGTTGATGAGAAAGACAAAGTTCCTTCTCTTATGTACTAAACTTACAACCTAGTAAATATAGTTAAATGTGGATAAAGTCAGTGATGAAGTTATGAGCAAAGTGAGACAGAAAGAAGATGGAAATATCTTCATAAAAGGAGTGAGACTTGATGCATAGTGAATGTGTAGAAAATAAATCATTGATAGAATTCTATTTTAGTTTATTTGCATTGTTTTCGGGAAATGATAGACAATGGTTTTTTTCTGTACTAAAGATGTATGACCTACTGACAGGATAGATGAAAAACTGAAAAAATGACCAGATTTTTCAATTTTCCGTGGTTTTAATCAGTTATTCAAGGTCATTTTTCATTTTTAAAATAGGAAGGACCAGAGTGTTTAAGTAAGTTCAACTGTAACATATAAAATATTTATAACTTTTTCTATATTATGGTATGAAACTATTAAAATTTGGCAGTAGAAATAACTTTGGTATAATTGCTGAAACCCATGAACAAAACACATGGTGATTTTGTGATATTTTGCCTGACTATTGACTGAACATTGTGTTTGGGTTGTCCTTATGGCCGCCCCTTAAACTTAAATCACTTTCTTCCATCTTTAGTCCTTATTTGAGATCATTCTAAATGCTCAAAATGGCATTCACTTCTTTTCCATTAGCCGGTATTTTTAGTCTCTTTATGAAATGTTGCCTTAAAAATAACCTCCTTTAAGAAAGACAAATACCAGATGGTTTCACTCATTTATGGAACACAGAGAAACAAAACAGTCAGACAAAACTATACCAAAACATATCCTAGAAATCTGACTATAAAATTGAGGCTACCAGAGGGGGTGGGGAAATTGGAGAGCTAACAGCAGAACTATACAGAAGGACTGGGGGTGCCTGGGTAGTGGGTGTGATGTGGTAACATACATCTGAAGAGGTGAGAACCTTTATCTCTGAATCAGACCTACTGTGTTATAAAGAGTGTTACCGCAATTTTTTTTTTTTTAAAACCTCCTTTAGGAAATTTTTGGTGAATAATCTTTGTCCAACCTATAGGCAAAACTGCTTCTATTGTTTTATATGTTGGTTCTCTGAAGATAAAGTTGTGTCTCTCCCCACTGATTTTTCACCAAGTAGTATGTATGAATACCATTTTGAAAAATATTCTGTCTCTATTTCAAGCCAACAAGTCCCAACCGAGGTTGGTTTGTTCCACCGTTTGGAGGAAACCCCTGGTGGGTGTACCTGGCAGCTGCTATCCCTGCTTTGCTGGTCACCATTCTGATCTTCATGGACCAGCAAATCACAGCTGTGATTGTAAACAGGAAAGAACATAAACTCAAGGTAAATGTTCATAATCATAATTATCATTGCCTTCACCTTTCTTTGTAGGACTTGAAAGTACTAATTGGGACAGTTTGGGGGAGTTATATTATAGCTAATGTTCTTTGAGACCTGGCAGTCATCAGTCACCTTGTGTTAACACATTTCCTTAATGTATTACTTTAAGAAGACCTTATTTAAATCTGAAAAAGTTGTTTTAAATCATACTTCCTTAGCCACCCAAGAGGGCAAAACTGTTTACCGCTCAAGCTACATCTGACTTTAATGTAGTAACTGTCCTAAATGAAGACAACTGGAATGACTTAGTTAATGTATACTGGGTACCTACCATCTGTTAAATCAACTCAGATTTATTTTTAAAGATTATTCAGATAGTCATGGTTATAAGCTCTTGGTAAGCATTCCCATTTTTTTATCTTTAAGTTCTTATCTCAGTATACTAATAACTATAAAGTATAGAGAAAAATGTTTTATTTTGGATGCAGATCCTTAGATGGCCTTTTCCTTGTGAAAACCCTCCGGTACCCTCCTATTTTACTTTTCATTAAACCTGTGATGTAAAATTGCCCATAAAAAAAATGCCTATTGATTTTGCATTGGTATTTCTTTCCAGAACTATTTTGCTCTCCAGGGAACATTTAACAATGTCTGGGGACATTTTTGGTTGTCACAACTTTGGGGGGAGGATGCCACAGCATCTAGTGTCTACAGGCCAGAGATATAACTAAATAGGCTATAATACTCATAGCAGCCACCACTAGCTAAGAATTATTTAAAATCTCAAGTGTTGATTCTGAGAATTTTGTTTTATGTGATCTGGACCCACTGTTTGAATTCTCGAATCATTAATTCCCCTTCAGTCCAGTCACACTACCCTACTATTTGTTCCTTAACACACCAAACTCCTTACCACGCTGGGCCTTTGCATTTCCCCATATTTCTCCTTGAAAAACTATGGTTTAATGAACAGTCATTCAACACCTGTTCTGTTCTAAGACTTCTGTTAAATTAAATAATAAATAAGGTGGAAGCCCCAAATGATTTACAGATTACTAGCTGAAGCCATATGTTGAAGCAAGTAATTTATTGTATCTGTAACATACAACACACAATGTCTAGGTCAAATCCTAGTCTTTGAGATGGAGATGATGGTAAAAATGGAAAAGCCTCACCAAACTTCTTCAGGGTAAAGTCATAACTTTGAACTTTTTTTTTTTCTTACTTTGGGCATTTTTTTTTATCTTCAACATCTAATACAAGTGTTCTGTACATAGCAGGGAGTCAGTAAATGCTCAAACGTTTGTGTGTCCTATAAAGTTTGAAAGAGTTTTATTTTCATGAATATAAACCAAGTGAATATTCTATTTTCTGAAACTGGAGTTTATTTTAGCTACAAAGATAGGAAATAAAACTTTTCTTTCTTTTGCTATTATGTAGCTTTGTTAATACAGAAAAATATCATTTAGGGGTAAGTCCTTATTCCTAAGAGAAACAAAACCTATGGGAGAAAAAGTTTAACCTAACAGTCTGAAGTTTACATATACCACATAGTTGATAACAGAGGGAGCACAGGAGAAGACATACACATGTATTCAATGGCAACATAAACATTCACAGCAGGAACTTCCATGATCCAGACAACAAAGTGGTTTATGTGGACACTGAAAACTGTAATGGAATTCCTCTGTCTATGGGGTTTACAATCAGATGGGGAGATTCAGACTTGTAAACAAATTGTAATGCACTCTATTTTTAAAAAATTGATTTATGCATACAAGAGCTGGGGTATAGGCCAGAGATGCAGGGGGTGAGAGGATTCACCAGAGACAGAGTGGTGAACAGAACAGGCAGATCCACTGAAATACATTACTGAGGAGAGCAGCGGGCAAGTTAGGAGAGATCCGCTGCACCATATGGGTTGCTCCCTGGCCGGCCAGGGAATCAAACTCTTGCTGCAGTGGCTGGCGGTAGCTTGATAGCACTGTCTTTAACCTTTGCGCCACCAGGGAGGCACCTGTAATGCACTCTACATAGACATTCAAAGAGGTTTGCAATAGACACCTAAAAGTGCAAGAGAGGAAGTGTGTATGTATGAATGAACCTACAAATACTCTATAGTGATGACATCTGCAGAGGACTTTGAAGAATAAAACACTCTTTCAAGAATGGGAGATGAGTTGACATAATTTTCAGTTATCACGGATTTCATAGTGTAACAACTCTGAAAACCATATCATCCAAGAAAACAAAATTCTTCAGTATATATTTATTGATTCTGTAAATATGGAAATTACTGTGATGGGCCAAATGAGAGTTGGAAAGAGGAAAAAAACATGGTCCTTGGTGCTTGTCTTGAAAATGTTTTCACCCGGAAAGGAAGATGAAAGAATTATACAAAATAACTACTGTGTAAGACATCATGTGACTGGTGCCACAGAGTAATACAACTATGTCAAGAGCAAAACCAAGAACAACAGAAATCACATTAGGAGGAAACACTACACTGACAAGTATTTGCAGGATCTTAAAGGATGGGGAAGATTTTAATAAGTGGTGGTAATTGAAGAAGCAGAGATGACAATAGAATAACTAAAAAGAAACTTTCAGATTTGAGGAGAAACTAACAGTTCATTTGCTCAGAGCATTGGCTTGTCTGTGGAGAGAACCATTTTAAATTTAGATTAGCACATATCATATCACAAACAACCTTAAATTTCAGGTTATAAGGCAAATGGATGTTCTTCAAGGGGCAAAGGTTAAGGGACCAAGGTATAAAGGTTTAGAAATAGAACTGACATAAGAACAACACTTTGAAGAAATTACTGCTTTTGAATGAATCAAGAGATACTGGCTATTAACTCATGGTTACAGTATTGGAATAGTCTAGACTGAAATGATAACAAGAATAAGGTCGTGATAACAAGAATAAAAAAAAAATAAAGAAAGGCAAGGTAGGGACTTTGGAATTACCCAAGAAAACACACTCGAAGTAAGGATTTTATCATAGAAGATAACAGATAGATTAGTTGCTACAACCACCTATTATTTATTATTAGATACCTATTCCAGCCATTTCACTCTCCCACGCCCTATTTATAACACTCTTAAAATCACTTTCCTTGTGGGAAGTATGCCTGACTTGCAGGCTGAAGCTCAGCCTCTCTCCTACCTTCTGCTGATGACTCAGGGATGACCTTGGAGGAGCTGTGACCTTGCTGAACTTGGTTTGCTTTTGAGTGCTCTGCAGGAATAATGTGGGACATAACTAACCAAAATAAAGGCCAAAAAAAGCCAAGTGTCTTGGCCTTCCTACATCAATACAGAGCTGTTCAGCAGAGTGGAAAGGTGGATCCCATCCCAAACAGAGCAGTCAGCCAGCCAGAGTCACTTGAAATGGAGCCAAAGCAAATGCCACCCCAAAACATGCTGCTTTTAATATCACAATGCCTTCATCCTTCCACCATTTCAGGTTCTTTTTTGAATCGATTTCATAGCAGTTGGAGCTCTTTTTAACTTTAGACCGTATCTCTAATTTTCACATTCCACAGCCTGCTTTCCTAAAACAAATGTGAGCAAAACAGATTCCAGAGTGAAAAGCCTTTGATTCATGATGATATGTCCACTGGTATCATTCAATTTGTATCAAAAGACTGGCACTTATTCTGTAACCATTATCATTCAAAGAAATGGTTTCAAATAGGCAGTTCCAAAAGTTTGAAATCTTACTTGTTATAGACTTCACTTCTATTCTACTGAGAATAGAATTTAAAAATTGTGTGCCATTCTTAAATTTGCTACATTAGAAATTCTGACTTTTATTAGTAAGAACACTTAATGAACAAAAAAGGCATTGACTTTCAAAGACATAGAGCAAACTTGGCCAACTACATATCATAGCTAAGAATATTTTCCCAATTTTTTTTCCAGAGTGAAATATATTAGTCAACATCCATTTCCAACAATTCAAACAAAATCAACGCTGACGCCCTGTCCCAGTATAGAATATCTAAAACTCCTCATATGTGGACTATAAAAAAACAAAACAAAGGAATAGATAAAACTAAACCAAAACGAACTCTAGAAATCCAGTTGTTTAATTGAGGTTACCAGAGGGGGGAGGATGGAAGTGGGGGAGCAAAGGGGATGAAAGGGTGCCCAATGACTGTAGTGGAGGATTGTGAATGTTTAGGTGGTAGGTGTGGTCACCTATGTCTAAAAGAGATATGAACCAATATCCCTAAGTCATATACAGTTTTTAAACCAATGCTACCTCAACAATAAATGACAAGCCAGCAAACAAATAAAATGCTCAAACTAAATACAAAAAATATTTTATAAACCATGGCTTATCTGCTGGAAAGTAAAAGAAATAACTGGAGGCAAAAAAAACAATGGCAAAATTGGGCCTCCCTGGTGGCGCAAGGGGTTAAGACGCAACCTATGAAGCTGTCCACAGCCTCTGCAGCATGTGTTCGATCCCTGGCCAGGGAGCTACCTACATGGAGTAGCAGACCTCTCCCATCTCACCTGCTGCTCCCCTCAGCAGTGTATTTCAGTTGATCTGCCTGTTCTGTCTCCCACTCTGTCTCTGGTGAATCCTCTCACCCCCCCCCCCACAGCTCTTACCTGTACTCCAGTTCTTGTGTGTATAAATAAGTAAATCTTAAAAACAAACAAACAAACAAACAATGGCAACAAAACGAGTAAGTCTACAGGGTCCCTAAGTCCAGAAGCCTGGACCTGCCCTGAGAGACTATGGTGGTCCTTGTGGGTTTAAGGCCTGGATTAGAATGACCATCTGAACTGCAGGGACAGAAGACCAAGCTCAGGGCTATGGGGGAAAAAGACAAATTCCATCCAAAATATAACTACAGGTTTTTAATTGGTCAGCTATATTTTTAAAAGCCTACAAAGACAACAGCAATGCATGTCTTTCTTGACCTTGCCAAGAGAAAAGAAAATCTCCAAAGGTATTCCTAACCATAAACCTGCAAGAAGGTTCGCAGCTGGAATTCATATTACCTCTGTGGTCTGGAAGACCTCAAGTAAAAAGTGGAGTGTAAAGTAATCTTGGACGTCTATGAATTATTTTTTCCACTCCACCCTTAAAATCTATATATCTACTTATATATAGATATATCAATCAAAACTATACTTCATCAAGAGTTCAGACCCAGTGGCCAAGTTAAAGGAATTATAAAGTGCAAAAGAATATGCTAAATGACACACAGAAAAGCAGTCACCAAGAACTAGACTATGGCAAAGTCTTTAGTACTAATGTGGCAGACTTTCATTTTCCAAAAATGACTGGAAAATATGTCCTATCCCACATATTTTTCTGCAGTGTGCAAACTTGCTATTCCTCCACCAGACAGTGGCATTCTTCTTCACTCCTTGAAGAGAGGCTGACCTTGTGACTACTTTAGCCAATTGAATATGGCAAATAAGGACATTATGCATTGTTGGTTGCAGCTGTAACCATAAAATGGCCTAGCAGTTTCTACTTTTTAATTCTTGGAAGTCAGTTGTCATGTGCAATGGTGAATAACTCTAACTCAAAATTGTCATGCTATGAGAAGCCTATGACACAGAGAAAGACCCTGGAGGATGAGATGCTAGTGTGTGTGTGTGTGTGTGTGTGTGTGTGTGTGTAGAACCCTTTGTAGATATCCATCTCAATCACGGCTTCAGGCTACATTAATCTCAGCCACTAATTACAGGAGAGACCTCAAGAAAGCAGTATCCATCCAAGCCCACTAATCCAAAGAAACACAAAAGATAAGTTGTTTTAAGTCACTAAGTTTCATTGGCTTGTTATCTGGCAAAAAATAGAAAAACAGATAACCTGGTTGCCCTCAACAAATAAATTACAAGGGAAAACAGCAGATTGATGGGGAAAATCTATGAACCAGAATTTAAAATATATATATATATATATAATATTAAGATAATAATGTCTGAGCTTAATTTGGACCCTGACTTAAATAAATTTTATTTTTCAAGCTTATTATATTTGTGACACACTTGCAAATTTAAACATTAAGGGGAAAGATTTTTTGACAGGAGTGATGTCAAGATGCACAAAGTTAATTATATAATTGTCCCAAAACTTTTATTTATGTTGGTGGTTTTACATAGTTACCTTTGTATTCTTCTTTCTAAAATCCTCATTCCATCCACTTTGGTATTATGTAACACCTTTTTGCTAGCCTCCAAGATATCTAACTCAAACTCATTTTAATTGACAGGGGCAAGAAAGCATGGCAGTGGCTAACGGTGGCATGCATGACTTTTTCTGCAAAAGCTATTCTTTTTGACCCATTGTTAAAGGCCTGAGTACATCCTTAGGTTATTATAGTTTCCTTGGCAACAGAATTTGAGGCTCCTGCCTATTAACTACCTTATTGGTTACCTCTAATATGGTCCTGAGTGATTTCGTCTAAATAGGGTTTTACATTACATGATATTTCCAGCTGTTGTTGATCTCCCCTTTTATTTTACCCCCCCCACACTAATTCACATTTCTGCCAATTAATGAAATTAATTTTTGAATGACTAAGTAAGAATTTGTATTTACTATTTAGGAGAATATTTACATGACTAGTTGCCACTCATTTTTCAGTAAACAATAATTGAGAATTGACCATGCATTGTGCTCTCAGCTAAGCTGTTCAGGATACAAAGAAAAATGGATGGATATAGTGCAGGTCTCATGTTACTTATGTCTGATGTCAAAGACAGATAAATACACATGCCATTTCAAAACAGTGTGATGAGCGCTGTGATAGAGCAGAGGATAAAGTAATAGACCAGGGAATATAAAGGAGGAGATATAACCAACTGCACTCTCATGTCTCAGACAAACTGAGGCAAGAAAAACTACCAGAAAGGGTGAAGACTGATTTAAATCTTAAGGACAAATGAAGACTGAGCCAAGGGAAGAATAAGGAAGAGTAGAGGTTATCCATTGTGGAGGATGCTGTATGAGCAAAGACACAAAGGGAATTAGTGTATAAGACATATTTGAAGAATTACATGTGGTTGAAAGTGGGGCCTCCCTGGTGGCGCAGGCGGTTGAGCGCCGCACTGTGAAGCTGTCCACAGCATCTGCAGCGCAGGTTCAATCCCAACCGGTGGGCAAGAATTCCACATGGTGCGGCAGACCTCTCCTGTCTTGCCCACTGCTTTCCTCAGCAGTGTATTTCATCAGTCTGCCTGTTCTGTTCCTTGCTCTGTCTCTGGTGAATCCTCTCACCCTCCCACGCTTCTGGCCTGTACCCTGGTTCTTGCATAAATAAATAAATAAATAAATAAATTCATACATAAATAAATAAATCTTGTATAAATAAATCTTTTTAAAAAAGTGTCTATGACATTGGATCCAAGTAGAGGAGAGGTGAAAGATAATGCTACTGATGTGAAAAGAGGCTAGACCATGAATGGCCTACAGTAAAGTCATAAGGTGTATCCATAGCAGAGGGCAGCAAATCCAGGAGGCTCCACCTTAAGGAGTAGCCAGAATCCAACCAGTTCTTGACATCTTCAAAGCAGTGAGTCACTCTGATTTGAGCCATCACTATCTCTTGCATGGATTATGGCAGCAGGGTCTTAACTGGTTTTACTGCCCTTGACCCTCTTTAGTGTGTTCTTGAAATGATAGCCATAGTGTTTAGTACATAAGCAAATCAAAGCACTCATACATTTAAGGCTTCCAGTGACCTCACGTTGGACTCAGTATACAAACCTAAGTTCTTAAAGTTCTCCTTAGTATATGTTACTATGTAAGATACTGCCTAATTTATTCCTATACGGCCTAGATCACTGTTGTCTCAGGTGACTGAAACCTCCAGAAGTATCTATGTTATTCACAAATATGTCTCCAACACCAACCTAATAGTAAATTGGCAAACAGTATTTGTGGAAAGGATGAATCAGTATTTTTGGAAAGGACAACAGTGATATCTACTTTCTTAGTCATTATTGGACAAGTTTATTTCAGCTCCCCCGCACCTTTACCTCCTTTCCCCTACCTTACCACACTCCCAGTTTTTACCCTTATGTCTTCAAAACCACTTATACTGAATGTCCTGGTTTTAAACTATTTGTCTGTCAAGGAGAGTTTCATTCATAGCCAATCCTGCACTGAGTAAATACATGCTTTCTTCCTTGTGTCTGCCACCCTTGACTGTGATGAGTTGAGAACATGGCTCGCCCATGTGTGCAAGTCAGGGACGAGGTTTTGGCATTTCATTGTAAAGAGAGCAGTGTTCTGACTAACTGTAACAGGATCTGAACCATAACAGTCACCAGGTTCCTAGTGTAAATCACATTCTCATTTTCAAAAATCAACTCTTCCATTTCCTCAAATTGGTCATACTCTGGCTTGCGGTGCTGCTGCTCCCATGCTGTGAAAATGGACTGCTCTGTTTTCTCCGTCTCCGTAGGGGTATTTCGCATTTGATTTCTTGACAAATAAAGCAGAGAAATATAACCATAAAATAACATTGTGGAACATTTAACAATATTTATTTAGTGAGTAAAAGAACTAGACCTTTTGTTACATTGTCTGCTCTGCTAGTCAGTAAATGTTATTGTGATAATGATAAATTGTTAAGCAATTATTTTTACATACTATGAAGGCGAGGATAATACATACTTTCTCTAGGTTGCTCTCAGGTGTGGCATTTATGGCCACAATACCTTTTCAAGCTAGACATCTATCTCTCCATCACTCTGGTCACAAAATACTGAAAGTATAACAAATTAAAAAAAAAAACAATAATAAGGAAGCTGTGACTTAAATCTAACAATTATTTGAATCTAGAGGAGGTATCGTGTGGCAGATTTGTGCTTAATAGCTGGGGGGAATAATATAAGGATGATAAAGTGCCCTCCCATACCTTCTAGTTAATATTTTTACCAAACGGGGTAAGTTGAATTCTTTTTGTAACCTTAATTCCCATCTGGAAATACAATTAGATGGCAAATAAGAGTGTTTTCACCACATGGTTTTGTTATCCCTCTCTACAGAAAGGTGCTGGGTACCACCTGGACCTCTTTTGGGTGGCCATCCTCATGGTGATTTGCTCCTTCATGGCTCTTCCATGGTATGTGGCTGCGACTGTCATCTCCATTGCTCACATTGACAGTTTGAAGATGGAGACAGAGACTTCTGCCCCTGGAGAACAACCAAAATTTCTTGGAGTGAGGTATGTTAAATGGGAGGGGAGTGGCTTAACCAAACACATCAGGCTCATATGTTTGTGCCAGTGGCAAGTGTTGAGGAGAAAGGGCCTATGATGATTAATTTATTCCTATACTTGCTTTTCTGGAGGGGGCTAAATTTTTACCAGAAAGAGAGTGTTCTATAAGTTTTTTTAGTTCACTTCTCATGATACATTAATTTCCTTTGATTAATGAAAGATGCAACATAAAAATGCAAATAAGCCATTTATTTCTTTAACATAGAGATCATCTTGGTATTGTGGTTCTTACTCCATCACAGTCATATCTGAAGGCCAAACCCCTTAGTCTTTAAGCTTTATTGAGAATCTGTCTTATGATTTTTAAGATTCTGTGAAGGGAAATGAATTCTTATTTTCCAGTTCATTTTCTGTCCCCATTAGCTTTGAGAAACTGTGACCTCTGGTTGTTAAATTTGGGTAGCCATGAAAGGCACTAGATGTCCTTTATCCTCTACTGAGTACTTTTTGCAATCCCTGCTCCCGAGTACTAGGGTGAATAGCTCACACAGCAGAGCCATCGTTTCTCATGTTGTAACAGTGGATGATTCTTTCTTGGGGGTTGAATGGGAGTCATATTTGTTAAAAAGTGCTTTTAATGTTGTATATTTGGATATTAGACTGATGGGATTTATTGCACTGATGAAATTTCCTTGAGCTGTTCATTAATTAGAATGTGGGACAATGTAATATCTGTCTCCTGTGAAAGAAGGTGTAATTATACAACAGAACAAGTTATTTAAAAAAATAAGGACTTCAAAGTGTCCAAAATTGATAGACCAAGAGCAAGTGATTTTTCTCTTTTGATTCTAAAATAAGCAAAGAATTTAGCTGAATCACTTTTATCTTTAGGAATTCAAGTTGCACTGCAATCATTAAAGGGAATTTTATAACTATGTTGATCTTATTTATCCTTGAGGCATTAACTGCATATAATATCAATAGTTTTGCTATCTTAGTAAAAAAATTTTAGTCTTTTTGATGGTAAAAGAGAAAAATGTGATTAATGGAAATAAATGGTGCAGTGATAATCTTTTGATTTGGTTTCAGGGAACAACGAGTCACTGGAACCCTTGTGTTTATTCTGACGGGTCTGTCAGTCTTTATGGCTCCCATTTTGAAGGTAAATATGTGAAATGCACTTCCTCTTTCTCAGAACACTGATAGGTAATTGGATATGTGAAGAATAGAATCTCCTGTGAAATAACCTGAAGATTCTCAACAATTCTATAACACACTGAAATGGGGCAGATAGAATGAGGCCTTAAAAAATTTTTATCTTGATTTCCTTCTCATTCTTTACCTCTGTTGTTTTTGTTATTAATGACATTAATTGGTTGAAACTTTAAATTATCAATATTCATACTTTTTGACCTATGAAATAACAGATTCATAAAGTTCAATCTGCCTGAGTGATCTCCTCTCCTATCACATTTTTTTTTTTTTTTATAGAGGCATGCTTTATTTATTTGTTTGCTGGTTTGTTTGTTTGTTTTGTTTATACATGCACTGGGTACAGTCAGAAGCGCGGGAGGGCGAGAGAATTCACCAGAGCCAGAGTGGGGAGCAGAGCAGGCAGAAGGACCGAAGTACTCTCCTATCACATTTTGTACTAATCTCCCTTCATCCTCGTGCCCTCCGCCTTTCTTCCCATCTCTTCCTGTTTACTTGTTCCTAAATTTGCTGCCTTGTTTGCTACCACATTAGACTCTGAAATAACATGAGTAATTCAGGATAATCATTTTATAATTTTTTTCCTTAATTATTGATTATGCTTCCATTTTCTTTAAATTAGAAGACTTAATACCAGAAAGGCAGACTAATGGAGATTTACTTATTGATTCATAATTTTAAAACTTTAGAAATGAACATTTGAAGAAGAAAAATGATATGGTACATTATATAGAAAGTTATGAATCAATAGGTTTGATTGATAGGGTTGACTATCTGCCTAGGTAGGTAAATATAAACTATCTGTGAAGGTTTATTAAGAAGTAGAAATAGGAAAAAAAAAAAAAAAGAAGTAGAAATAGGATTTAAAATGCTAATATATGCCTGTCATGAAGCTTCCAATTTTTTATTGTGGTACATTTATTTTTTTTCTATTATACAAACAATACAGATCAATTATTGATAATTTATGTCTGAAACTTTGCATGACAGTACGAGAATCACCTATAGACCTAATAAGCTATAAATAATTATTGTTAACAATATCCTCCCAAATTTTCTCTGAAATTTTTATTCTTAAACAATTCCAGTTGGGCCTCCCTGGTGGCGCAGCGGTTGAGCGCTGGGTTGTGAAGCTGCCCGCGGCCTCTGCGGCACCGGTTCGATCCCCGGCTGCTCCCGGCCACCGGAGGAGGGTCCCACATGGCGCGCAGACCTCTCCTGCCGCCCACTGCTCCCCTCAGCAGTGTACTTCGGTCCTTCTGCCTGCTCTGCTCTCTGCTCTGGCTCTGGTGAATTCTCTCACCCTCCCGTGCTTCTGACTGTACCCAGTGCATGTATAAACAAAAACAAACAAATAAAGAAAGAAAGAAAAAACATGCTCTATATAAAAAAAAAAAAAAAAAAATTAAACAATTCCAGTTTTTAAAGGTTTGTTGAATGCTTAAGTAATTTCAAAAGTAATGGAGTCATACATGCTTACAAATAACTCAAAAGTTATTTCGTCAAAAGTATGAGGAAACAGTATGAGTCCACTAAATGGATAAAGAAAATGTGGTATATACGCACAGTGGAATATTATTCAGCCATAAAGCAAAATGAAATATTTCCATTTGCTACAACATAGATGGTCTTTGAGGGCATTATGCTAAGTGAAATAAGTCAGACAGAGAAAGACAAGTGCCATATGATCTCATTTATGGAATCTAAGAAAACAAACAAAACCCAGACTCATAGATACAGAAAATAGACTGGTTGTTGCCAAAGGTTGGGAAGGGAAATAGGAGAAATAGGTGAAAGGTGTCAAAAAGTATAAACTTCAGTTATAAAAATAAATAAGTAATGTACAACATGGTGACTTTAGTCAATACTTTATTGCACATTTGAAAATCTTTGAGTGTAGTTCTTAAATGTTATCGCAAAAAAGAATTTGTAACTGTGTGGTGATGGATGTTAACTAGACCTATTGTAGCGAGCATTTCACAATATCTATAAAATATTGAATTGTATTTTGTACCTAGAAGTAATAATGATATATTTCAATTTTACCTGAATTTAAAAAAAATACAGATGGTGAAAGGCAAAGCCCTCTGTTTCTCTCATGTTAGCACATTTACATCTCAATCGCCAACCCTATGAATTTAAGGAAAGTGAAACAATAATTTCCTACCCTATGTAAAAGTCTAATTTAACCTTCAGAGTATTTGGATTAATGCATATGTTAGCTATACACATGAAACTCTTGGAAAACAGAAGCTTTACATATTCATCTTTTGTTCTTGGTTTCCATGATGTCAATTAATTGGCTTAATTAACTTCCGACTAAAATCATGAATGTATTTATCATGTAATACATAGGGAGTAAATTAAAAACAACCTTAGAGAACTCGTTTCTGGTTACATACTGAGGTCATTAAAATAGTAAAGATTGTATGTTCTGTTGGGATAGAGGGAAATCTGTTATCACTTTGATAATCCAAAGTTCATCTTTGGGTAGGTTGGAAGTTGTGGTGAGTTTTAGTTGCATAGCTCAAATCCTTTGTGCTTATCTGTCATCCCATAGACCCCAGCATCTGTGGGAAAGTAAAAAAACAGCTTTTTTTCCCCCAGCAATTAATTAATTTTTTTTCCTTACACTGTTGTAATCCCATAGTTCTCCTGCCACCCTATCACCCTTGAACCATCTCCATATTCCCTTGTGTTCTTCCCTCTCCTGTTTTGCCCCCCACTCTCCCTCTGCTGTATGCCTCAGTTCTATGTTCAGCTTGCTAGTTTTGACTTTTTTTGACCTTTTCTTTGGTTTATCTATATTCCACATATAAGTGAGACCATTTGGTATTTATCTTTTTCCTTCTGACTTATGTTGGCTAGCACAATCCCTTCCATCTCCATCTATGTTGCCGCAAATGGCATAAGTCTGTGTTTTTTGATCTCTGAGTAGTATTATATTGTATAAATATACCAAAACTTTTTGATCCATTTGTCTATTGGGGGCATTTGGGTTGTTTCCATTTCTTAGCAATAAACACGGGAGTTCAGGTTTCCTTTCGAATTAGTTTGTGTGTCTTTGGGTAGATCCCTAGGAGTGGAGTTGCTGGATCATATGGTAGCTCCATTTATAGTGTTCTGGGAAACCTCCACATAGCTTTCCACAGTGGCTGGACTAGTTAACAACTTTCTACAGTAGTCTCCCCTTATCTTTGCTTTCACTTTCCAGTTTTGGTTACCTATGCTCCAACCACAGTCTGAAAAATAAGGTAATGAGAGAAAAAGAGACCACATTTTCATAACTTTTATTGCAGTACCTTTTTTATAATTATTCCATTTTATTAGCTATTTTTATTAATCTCTCACTGTCACTAATATATAAATTAAACTATCATAGATCTATCAAAGATAGTTTAATCTATTAAACTATCAAAGGAAAAAAAGATGTTTTATGTACAATTTTGTACAATCTGCAATTTCAGGTTTCCACTGGAGATCTTGGAACATATCCCCATGAATAAGAGGAAACTGCCCTCGCACATAGGCAATGGGACCCATCTGGAGTGATCAGTGTGTAGAGAGGTCTTTGAAAGAAATTATGACCCCATGTTGTGAGAGACTCTGCTCCTGGGTCTCCAGGAAATGGGCTTACAAGACACAACTGCAGAATTTCTTTTTTGGGGTCTGCTTTGCCACAAATACGGGATAACTAGGCAGAAATCTTTTCATCAATTCAAATTAGTTTAGCACCCTCACCCATTTTTTTCTTTTTAAAAAAATCTTATTTCTTTTCATTTGTACAGTATAAAACCCTAATTCAAAAAAGTCAATTGTGTTTAGAAGTTCTTTTGTTGTTGTTATACCAAGTTATCTTGAGTAATCATATATGATTCCAAAGGGACACAAAGATTACAGATATCGTCTAAATTGCTATTTTTAGGGAGAGATGCAACACTTGCATTTTCAGCAAAGCTTCTTGCTATTTGTTCACACTATACCTGAATATGACTGCAGGGGAGTAAAAGCTGAAAGTCCTTATGTTCTTTATTTTACAATAATTCTTTAGACCCCTAATATACAAAACACCTTGATATATAGAAACAAGTTAGAAAACAGATATAAAGGATCAAGGGGCATGAGGGTGCTTTGCTTTTGCCTTAAGTAATTCTTGGTTGGCTCACCTTTATTTAGTAGGTAGGGTCCACCTTCTTTCAGCTACTGATAGGGTATGGCCTGTGCACTGTCCATGGCCATACTAGGGGCTCTTCCAGTTCAGTTCACTAATGGATGACATGTTTGGGCTGAACCGTGATGTCATTTTTCTGAGCCTAGGGGGTGCCCAGCAGCCAAATCCAGACACCTTAGTCCCTAAGGATCAAGTTCAAATCTTGGCTCTACCATTTAAAACTCTGTGACCTGATTAGTTATTCCAATTTTTTCTTATCTGTGAAATGAATGCAAATATTAGTATTTTTTGTAGGTGTTATTGGAGAATTAAATTTTTTTAATCTGTTCAGGGCCTCCTTGGTGGCCTAGGGGTTAAGTTTCAGCCCTATCCCTGCTGTGGCCTAAGTTTGATCCCTGGCCAGGGAGCTGACCCACTTATGGCGCAGCAGACCTCTCTTGTCTCACCCACTGCTCCCTTTAGCAGTGTATTTCATTCGGTCTGCCTGTTCTGCTCCCCACTCTGTCTCTGGTGAATCCTCTCACCCCCTACATCTCTAGCCTATACCCCAGTTCTTCTCTGAAAAAATAAAATAGGAAAAATATCTGTTCAGAGACCTTAAGTCAAAAACGAAGCTCAATAGATGGGAACTATTACTACAATCATATCGTATCATTGTCATCCTTGTATCACTATCCTTTCTCTGTCTCCTGTTACTGAGCAGAGTATGTGGCTTATTGCAGAAGCTCAAGCAAAGTTTGCCAAATACAAATTAAATACTCTCCTCTAGAGTTTAAAACATTAAACAAGTCTGAAAAATAATTTTGGGCCACTCCTCACGTTAAAGATAAACTAACTCAAGCAAAGGCAGCAGAAGTAGCAGTGAACTTTTCTTGATCTCTATTTCTTTGGGCTTGCCAGAAAAATGGGAACAGTAAGCTCCAGGATCTGCCTTTCATCTTTTTGCTGTTCTTCACCGTTCTTAGTCTCCTGATAGAGAACTTTAGTTTCACAGGCGATATTTCCACTACAGAAACACAGATCTAAACTGTCTGGCCAGCCCAGGAAGCCAGTTATTCCTACTTCCCAACAGTTCTGAAATCAGTGATGAGATTTGAAGCATGTACTGCTGTTATTAGCCAAGGTCAAGGGGTATCTTTCAGAATGAAAAGGTAGTGTACTAAAATTCCTTACATTTTCTCACATAAAAAGACAGATTTAGCAGAGATCTAAACATGTTCAAAGTCTCTGCATTAGTAGGCATGGGGGACAACTAAAATGGGAGAAAATTACTGCTTAATACTGGAAAAAAAACCTACTAGGATCATCTGAGGCCACTCAATTTATATGTGATGTAGGGAGAGGGGAGGAAATATGTTAAGCTAGTTCTTTTTTAAAAAGCAAAAGCCATACATTTCTCTTCACACAATTCATTTGATCTTCTTTTCAAAGTCAGTTCTTATGTAAAACCATTTTCTAAGTTGTCACCTGTTTCTTTAAAATATGCACAGTCATGGGGTAAAGGGGAAAAGGTTTCTTCCTCCAAGGGTAACCCCTGACACCATTTTCTGTGTGGTTAATTGTTAACCTTGGGTTTTACTCAGTCATAACTTTGACTTCAGTTAAACTTGCCATGAACATCTGCTTCTTCCTATTGATATACTGACTTTTCAAATGTGCTAATTAGGGTTCTGTGGTGAAAGCACATAACTTACCAAACTTCAGTAGTAATAGGAGCACACAATCTAACATTAGCTGATGTGACTGATCCCTGAAGTAAGGAATAGCCTTAGTCACTGAAGTAAGAAATCAGAATAGCCAATGTTAGATTGGTTTTTTTGTTTTAAAATCTATGTTTCCCACAATATAGTAGAAACATTTTAGCAAAATGATTTCATTTTCCACATTTTGCGCAAACCCTTGCCTAATGAACGAGTTTGTTGAACCACCTTTTTCACTGATTTTTACAATGACTCTGGGTCAATCCAAAGTTGCCAGATGTAAATAGTCACAATTGTGGACACCAAATCCTGATCTCAGGCTTCAGTTAACTGCCTCTTAAAACAAGGCTACACTGTGGTTCAAAGAACTCATTCACTGTCATTTCCTATGAGATTATCTTCCCCCACTTCTCCGAGCTAATTTCCAGTTCTCTTGTGTAAAATGACCTTTTCTCCAACTCCTCACCATTCACAGTTTCTTCAGTGACTAAGGACCACATCAAAAGTCAGAGCTTCCTTATTGAGCAAATTGTTCAGGTTTAAGGGCACTAGTGTATTATTTTAATAACATGTTCCTGACATTGTTATAGGTCAATGTTATAGAGTTTAAGTAAAACCAAGACTTTCAGTCTGACCCTGTTGTCATCCCCCAGGCCTATCCTCCTACCACCCTTACCCCCACTGTGGAGGGCCAAAGAGAGTTTTGATTTGTAGCTGCAACCTTCTTAGCTCACTCATCAGTGAAGGTCCTGATGATAATAATGGCAGCAATGTCACCTTTTCTTTTATTGAGTGTCTATTGAGAAGCAGGTGCTGAGCTAGATATTTTATGGTATGTATCTTTATATCTGAATCACTATATATATGAGAATAATACTAATAGAAGTGGATCATTTTCTCTGGGTTTCACAACTGTGAGAGACAGACTTGGAAACCAGTTCTATCACACTTCTATGCCACAATCAACACCTCATTCTGTGTTTTACACACAGACACACACACACACACACATACGTACACATGATGACTCTTTTTCTTCTGAGAGACATCTCTTCTACACTGAAATCTGCTTTGTACAACTACAATCTACCATTATTAAATTCTTTCGTATTTTTTCTTTTGGGAATATTCTAGTATTATCAGAAGTCAAAGAGAGGAATAAGAAAAAAGTAGAATTTCATTCACCAGAATTTGAAAATTTTGGTGATATGATTTCACTATTAAATCTTCAAAGTAATATTTACATTTAAAATATTTAATTCATTTATTTACATTATATTAGATGTAATAATTAGATCTATTGTAATTGTATTTATCTATTCTTGCTTCATTAAAATGTGTCCACTATTAGTATGTGTATTACTAGTAGTTTAACTTAAAATGGGATCTCATCTTTTGAAAACAAATTCTTTCCTTTGGGAAATTTCTATTGTGATGAATGAGTCTATTGTGATGAGTTTTTAAGGATGACCTTCTGATGTGACTCAATAACCAAATCCAATAAAAAATATCTCTGACCCAGTAATTCTGTTAAATTTCACCAGGATTTTCAGACTGGAAGATTTTTATTGAGACACTGCACTGTTATAAAGAAAATGGTAAATTTCATAAGACCTCTCTAATACCTTGAAGTTGGCCAGAATCAAATTAATAGTCTTTCTTCTATGAATTAGTTCCTTTTCATCAAAGAATAGCTTTTTAAAGTTTTATCATATCTAAAGCTAGTTTCCTATGCATGCCCATTATAATTTTGTTTGTGTGTGTGTGTAGGGAGGAGGTAGATTTGGAAATATGTATCAATATTAGTTCAGAGAGAACAAACAGGTTCTAAAGCATACTTTTCTTTCACACTGGCATTAGAACTACATTGGAGAAAATATTTAGCAAATCTGAAGTGAGCCATGGGGATAAGGCCTCAGATCACTTCTGTGATCATTTTCTTTCAAGTCTTTTAGAAAAACACTTTACTCACATTAAATAGTAACTAATGCAGAACTTCTAACTAGTTTCCCATGAACTCTATGTCTCTCTTTGCACCTGTCTTTTCTCCCAAGAATTTAGAAATAAAATAAGAAGTCATCATATTTTAAGGAAAAAATGAAGTGCCCCTATCTGCAGAAGATATTTTAAAAACAATGCTAAGCAAAATAAGTGAGGAGGAAAAAGACAAGTATCAGCTGGTTTCATTTATTTGTGGAGTATAGAGAAAATCAGACCAGTAACAATCCTAGAAATCTGTCTGTAGAATTAAGCCTACCAAACGAGAAGGAGAGAGTACAGAGCTCAGTGTGAAGGGAGCCGGAGGGACTGTGGGTTCCTTGGTGGTGGGTGGGGGTGGTGACAGACATCTGAAGAAGGGTGATCCCATGTCTATCAATCATAGACAGTGTTAAAGCCAACAATTCCTCAATAAAATTAAAAGATACATTTATTAAGAAATGAGTCAAAGCTATAAAATGGCTCCTTTGTTACTTTCAGTTTTAATTTTTGGTAACTGTGTACAGAGGACTAAGACAGAATAGAAACATACAGGTGCTGAAAGATACACCAGCACTTGTCAGTGCTGCAGGGCTTGAACATGATGCGCTCACCTCTTTGCGGTGGCTATTGCAGACTTGCCCCACACGCACACATTCCATATTGCTTTTTTTTATTTCAAGCTCAAATTAATTATGTTAATATTGTTATTCTTTGTAAGAAGATGTTTTTTACAAATAAAAAATATTCCATATATATTTAACAATTCCTATAACCAATAACAATTGGAGATATTCATGACACATTTTGGAATTTACTATTTCACCAGGGCTGGCCAAAATTTTGGTCTCGGCTCAGAACTGTTTATGTGCTCACAAGAAGAGGATGATAGAAATTGTGCTTCACTTAATACATGTAATAAGTTCTTTAGCCATCACTCTAAAGCCGTAGTTTTCTGACTATATTAGCCCCCTTTTGTAAATTTGGTAAGATTGGATTTAATTGATTGCAGTTTTAGTACTTGAGCTCCGAAAACCCTGAAATAACTTGAATTTTTTTTCAAAGTCCAACTTTGAAAACTTTTTGTTGTCCAGAAAGTAGACCTCCCAAGAACAGAATCACCTTGATTTACTTAACTTCCTCAGTGCGGGGGACATTTCCAAGGTCTAGGATAGATACAACTGATAAACATCACATTGAAACTTCCCATTGTTAAAACACTTTGTATTAATGTATTAGACTCTTGCTAATTAATGTATGAGAATGTATTAATTCAGTTTTAAAAGATGTGTATTAATCCATGTGTGTAATTAATTGCTTCCAGATGCTCCATGTTCCTTTCAAGCAGAGTTCTCATTAGTTAGTCCTCTTAATATTCCTGAGAGGAAGAAAGAGGAGGGGGCAGTCGTTTGATGTTTACTTAATTGAAAGAGTCATTTATACACCAAGCTTATAGAATACTTGGTGAAAATTTTTAAGGAAAAAAAAATCAACATACTTTTGGAAAAGGAACTTGGTCTCAGGGGCAAAGCAACCTCTATTTCTATTTCTTCCTTACAATCCATGCAAGCATCTGGTTTACATAGTCGTTCCTTTTAAGGGCAAAGGGAAACAGTAACTTTTTTATTATTAAAAATAGTTATTTTTTAAAGTCATGCATGCTCATTTTGGAAAAAAATGCAAGTTAAGTATCAAACAAAAATTGAAAGTCTCCTTCATTCTCCATTTAGTTCTAGTACAAAGGTTTTAGAAATTTATCAGTGATGAATAAAGTACATTAATCAGAGGTTACTACAATATTTATATCCTGCCTTTTAGTTTCAGATTTAGCCTCTATTTAAACTACCCTTCTCCATTACTGTTTATATAAATTATTATTATTATTATTATTATTATTATTATTTTAATTTCTGATTTTTTTCCTTTCTAGTTTATTCCTATGCCTGTACTTTATGGTGTGTTCCTGTATATGGGGGTAGCCTCCCTTAATGGTGTGCAGGTAAGCTTTCCATTACAATCTAAATATAGTCATGTTTTTCTAGCAGTAATATTTCAGTAATAGATATTTGAAGAAAAGTTCTAATCACTAACTGCTGAGTTTCTTAAATTTATTGATTTTCTATTTTCTCTACCATTCATCTGTTTCATACCATTATTTTTTAAATTTTTTTTATTTAAATTTTATATTTCCCTTACAATTACAACCCCCTTATTTTGACCCCAAGCCTTCCTTTCACCGCCCTCCACTGCCCATAGAGTATCTCTGGTTCATAGTTGTTTGTTGATTTGGATATTTTCTTTCTCATAGTTATTCTTTTTCCTGGTCCCTTATTTAAATTTTCTAGATTCCTGCTATGAGTAAGACCATCCAGTATTTTTCTTTTTCTTTCTGGCTTATTTCGCTGAGCATGATCCCTTCCAGCTCCATCCATGTTGCTGCAAATTGCATGTGTTTATCTTTTTTGAATGCTGAGTAATATTCCATGGTGTATATGTACCACATCTTCTTGATCCACTCATCTATTTTTGGGCATTTGGGTTGTTTCCAAAGCTTAGCTATTGTAAATAGTGCTGCTATAAACATAGGGGTACAGGTGCTCTTTGGAATTGATGTTTCTGTGTCCTTGTGTCATACCATTCTTGAGAGTAAAAGGTCATTTGACTTGGAATTCATTTCCTTCCTCTCTCCTTCCTTCCTCCTCTCCCCTCCTCCCTTTTTCTGTTTCCCTTCCTTCCCTCCTCCCCTTTTTCTTATTTTTTTTTCTTCTCAAGAAGGAAATCTCTTTCAATATGCTCCTCAAGATGTTTATTCATTTGCCTTTACCCTATACCAAGAATAGGCTATTTTTATTTGATTTGCTTTTCACATGACTGAGATCAATGATCAAATGTTTTGCATCAATAAAAGAATAAAGTCAGTCTGGTGTAAGTGCTACTTTGGTAGAGAACTTCCAACTACTCACAAGTTGGGTAAAACCTGCCCCCCTTTTAAAAAATCATTAGGGAAAACTTTGTAAGGAACTTTGTCTTTCAACTGAGGTTTAATTTAATTGGCACCAGGAAACTGGAAGTACTTCTGCTGTTTTTTGGCACCTTGTTAATTGTAGCCTTATTTAGCACTTAGTAATGTTTTAAAGGGAAAAGACTGCATGTTCTGTGACCATCATAAGAATTTATTTGAGCTCCTTCATAATAGTTCTTGCTTTCATTTGTTGAACTCAGATTAATTAGTTTTAGAGTCAGATAGAGCTGGGAAAAGGGCCAGACCTCCAAAAAGAAAAAAGGCTATTTTATTTCTCCTTGTTTAGGTCAATTGGGTAGAGGTCTTCACCTTTTGGATGTTTGTTGCAAAATTTAAGGTGATTCATCATAGATTTGACTAGGTGTATGTGAATGTGTATTATTTGTGCCCAAGAAACTGTGATACGGGGTAGTATAATGTGTAAAATATATTTTATCTTTACCTGGCATTGTAAATATTCTTTATTTCCCTAAGTGGAAACATAGGCAACTTAATCTGGCCTCCAAACTAATAATTTTTATGTTTTATTTTGCCTTAATAAGTCAGTCTAAATCAGAAGTTTGCTTTTATGACTTCTAGGTGCTTAATCAATGGTTGGAACTCAGTACATGTTTATTAAATTAAAGAAAAATAAAGTGATTTTATGATGGGAAAAAATCCTTTGTTAAAGGGACAGTTACATGATTTCGTAATTCAGCAGTGCTGTTTTTTCTTTTCTTGAGTCTTTCTCTTTTAGATCTTTTGGCAAGATTTGATTTAGCTAGAAATTTTGTAACCCAATCTTTATAAATGGGAAGCCCCACATCAGTCAAAAATAGCTCTGGAGAAATGAAACTTTTTACAACACTTGAGGGAAAAATGTCTGTTTTACTTTTATACTTCTCCCTTCACTCCAAAATAAAGTAGTTACTACTTCAGAGTTATATAGTTATTCTCTTCAACAGCTATTTAGTGAACATTTTCCATCTGAAAATCCTGTGATAGGTACTTAAATATCATCCATATCATTATCATAAGTGTAAACTCAGCAGTTACTCTTTGAAGTATAGCACCTGCCACATGGGTGCTCATGGTCATTTCAATACCTGTTCAGACCTGACAGTGTGATAACCTCTTCTAGTTTCATGTATTTACTTGTTAACCCTCTGAAACTTGCTCTAACATTCATATAGCTTTTCTTTTCTTTTTTTCTGAAAAGAAATGATAATGTGTTACTGAATGTATTTATTACATTATGCCATAGATAAAGAGTGTGAATTGTATGAAAATACCAAGTGCGTTCCCATTTTCTTGTTGGATACATCCTGTATATCCTTGAAACATCCCTAAAATGTATATGATAGCATGGGTATCCCCTTTTCTTTCATACAAGATAACTGAGACAGATAAGATATATGAACTAAATGTCTTCCCTCAGCATATCATTAATAAAACAGGCATAAGATCTTCTCTCCTGAGACTCAGATGGTAAAAACACAATCTAGGAGATGAGAATCTAGAATGTATATTTTACTTTGTGATGCTATTCTTTGGTGGGCACTTTGTCTCATATCTCTGCATTTGATTTCTGCAATGCAATATAAAAATTGGAAGACTCATATTATGTCTTATAGTGCTAGACTCAATTTCTGCATGTCCTGGTTAGTGTCCTCTTAATAGGACACTGCTTGCCTCAGTTACAGAATATAAATCACTAGTGGCTAGTTAGGTATAATGAATATGACTTTGGTGTCAGCTCTGAATGTATTTACTTATATTCTCTTTCTCCTTCTTCCCTAGTTCATGGATCGCCTAAAACTGCTTCTGATGCCCCTGAAGCATCAGCCTGACTTTATCTACCTGCGCCATGTCCCCTTGCGCAGAGTCCACCTGTTCACTTTCTTGCAGGTGTTGTGTTTAGCCCTGCTTTGGATCCTCAAGTCAACTGTGGCTGCTATCATTTTCCCAGTCATGGTAGGGATTTCTGCAATTGAATGTACTCGTAAAGTCATACTGATATCACATGGTTATCGTGATATGGAAAGAACACGTGTCTTATGGGTGGTTCCAGTTTTTATCCAACTTTGACCTATCACTTTGATCATTGTAATGTAAGGTACCTATGCCTGTGGTTGTCTAGGCTGGACCTTGCAGTCAAACTCTGCTGAGTTCGGATATTGGCTCTGCTTGGTCTTGGTCAGTACCTGCCTTGGAACTGTGATTGACTCATCAGCAAAATGAGAGTAGCGTCATTATTGTTATTCTGAGCTTCGATAATGATTATCAAGTATACAGCACAATGCCTGACACATGCTAACTATTTTTAAAATACTATTGTAGAATCGAATCAATCTAAGTAACAAAATACAACACATTTCAGTTCAAACAATAGAGAACAAGTTCAGCAACTTTTGAAAGGTCATCTGGTAAATTAGAAGTGGAGTGAGAAGTTCAACTTTTGAAGTTCTTGCTAGTTTGTGTCATTCTAAGTTTAAGGCTGGCTCTGTCCTTGCCATGATGTGATGCAAAGCAAGGCAAAACAACCAACATTCTACTCTGAATCACAAGTAAAAGGGGAAAAAGAAATTCTAGCTCTGTGTTTTGCTTTATAGTTGCATTTTATACTTTCCCATCATTTTCAGTTTCTTGTAATAAAATGTACATTTATACACTTGAAACAGGTCATGGAACCAAACTCAGCTCTGCTCTGTCTCCCCCACTTCCTTGGAAACAGAATTTTCACACACAAAGCACATTTTATCTTTTATAAAACTTCTCTTACCCTTAGTCACGATGATTATTTTACTTTATGTATATTATCAACTGTAATTATTTTTTTCTCTATGGAAGCAAAGATGCTATAAAGTACTATTGATATTTGCAGAGTCAGATTTTTTTCTTGATTATCCCTTATATATCACTCTTTTTTAAAAAAGCTGTTAATTTACTAGAAAATACATTGTCTGAGAAGTGATTCCCATTTGCTTATTGGTATAGTCTATCTCTTTATTACTTTTGTAGAACGAGAAAAATCATAGTTAGACTTTCATAGATTTGAAATATATCCAGTAACTCACTAATTGTTTATGCTAAAGTATTAAAAAATGTTTTATCATCATTAAGTATTTTCTGTTTTTCAGCACTTTTATTTGACCGCAAAACCCATGTGATATTATTAAGGCAGATGAAATTATTTGTCTAAGATAAGTATGTAGAAATTGACAGGATAGAGAGCATGATGTGGATAAAGACAACTGTTTAAGGCAGTCAGGACTCCTTTCTCCTCATTCTAAGTTTACTGTAGAGTGAAGTCATCTTTATTGTGCCTTGAAAAGTTATTCTTCAATAGCAATTTATAGAATCAAATACACAGAGCTAAAGAATATTAATTTTAAACCCAGACAGCTGGAATCCTTTGTATCATTCCCTTACCTAATACAAGGGTTACATATTTAGGTCTCGAAGCTTCTGTTTTCTTAGTTATAAGATGGAGATAATATCTATTTTTTGGGTTTGTCATGGGAATAGATGTAAAAATATTACCTAATGGTTTGGTATGACAGCCAGTGAAAGGTAATGTAGTGGTTAATGGTAGTGATTGAAGTAGTCCCATAAATTACATGGTGTATACAAACTCAAATACTACCTCATTTATTACTTTGAAAATGTTTTAGTCTGCTATGTGTCATACAGAATTTCTTGATTTTTAAAAAAACTGTGTAATGTTTTGAAAACCTGTATAATTTTGAATGACAAGATTTCATGTGCTGGATATTTTCTCTTTAAACTTTGCGTTATTTTATTTAAAAATCTTATGTGAAAAAAATAGTTCAGAAAATAATCCTTTTGCATTAAAGTTCTAGTTAAATGTGATCTTGTGTTTCCTTGAACAAAACAAGTGAATTTCAACTAGGACTTTAAAAGCCAACTTTCAAAATGAAGAAAATGTTTATGGTCCACTTTAATGTAAATCTATACAAGCAAGATGAGTTCTGTCATACCCTGGCCTCATATAAATAGGTTTTTACAGACTTTGATGGACAGTAGTAATGCTCACTATGACTTCACCTGACAGAGTTTCTTGCATACTTTTTTCTTTATCTTCCCAGATCTTGGCACTTGTAGCTGTCAGAAAAGGCATGGACTACCTCTTCTCCCAGCATGACCTCAGCTTCCTCGATGATGTCATTCCAGAAAAGGACAAGAAAAAGAAGGAGGATGAGAAGAAAAAGAAAAAGAAGAAAGGAAGTCTAGACAGTGATAATGATGATGTAAGGAACTTTCTAAAATTCCAAATTAAGGCTAGTAAAAGAAACAAATGTGAACATGTAATTTTTTTATCCCCTATATGAGATGTTTGAATTCCAGAATTTATACCTGGCCATGTTATGTTACTCTTCACCTTCCTTTCCCCTTTATATTTTTCTTTGGTTTTTATATTTTTTTCTGAAATCTTTCTGTATCCATTAACTTACTAATAGTGATATTTATAGTGACCACGTACAAAATGTTCCTACCACATATAAAGAACTCCAGTCTTCAATCTCACAGATAAAAAGGCTTTATAATGCTTTTTAAATGCTTTAAATATATTTGCTTTATAATGCTTTAAAATATATTTGGTTTGCTCTTGATAATCCAGGATTTCAATTTAAGATAACTCAGTTTTATATAATGTTATACCTGATGTGCCCAAATGCTGATGACCTCACCTCCTATCATCTATGTATCTACTTGAGATGGTTTTCAGCCAATTTTCTGCTCTTATAGTCAACCTTACATTGGATTTTGACAGGATTTGGGATTATTTCTTTACAAACCATCAAAAAAAAAAAAAAAACACCAAAAGGGAGTTGGAGTCTGGGATATTTTTTACATAATTATAATAGTATCATCGTCTAGATGTTCTTCCTGTAGTTGGATTTAAAAAAATCATTGTTTTTTTTTCTTTAAGAGACTCATAGAAATATAGAAATATATTTCATAGAAATACAGGTACTCCAGTAGGTATCTATAATCAGTGGTACCAAAGTGTGAAGATTTATTCTGGATTTTACACAGCACAACATCCCCATTCTAATGGGATCCCCAGTATCCTATTCTTAATTGGGAATATAGTTAATTTTTGGCATCTACTTGTTGATTTTTGTTGATTATGCATTCCTTGTCCTTCATTGACATACTTGCTCTTTAAAGTATATCTTTTATCCCCATTTTACAAAAGAGGAAATATATAGAGAAAAAAACTATAACAAGAAAAGTTAAGTCATTTTTCTAGGTGTACACAGCCTTAATTAGCAAAATCAAAAAAGTCTATTGCAGGCCTATTTGATTATTTACAATTGGTCAGATTGCATTCTTTGTGGAGAACTTGGAAATCTTATGGTGAAATAAATCAACAGATAAAATTGGATTCCAAATAAGTTGATTCAATAAGAAAAGGCTAAATATACGGAGGCACATTTAACTAAAGAGAAAACAAGTATGAGGATGCGTTTGAGATTGTTATCATCCATCTTCAATGAAAACAGGCCTATAGATTTTCTGTTTCCAATGAGGACAATAAGAAAAAGAATGTGTTTCAACTACAGCAGAGACTAAAATACACTATTAAAAAGAATGATGTGTTCACATATTGATTAGAAATCAAACTTTGAAATAAATTTCTAGACCACTCAAGGCCAAAAGAAAAGATTGCCTGAAATACTGAGATAATTAAAACAGCATTTCATCTTGAATTTTCAAAACAAGTATCTCGGTTTATGTACATCGACACCAAATTTAAATTCATCACACATTACAAATGTATGAAGTAATATTATGGAGTCCTCTATTAAGAAAAATAATAAAATTTTGACTTTCAGGAATGTTTTAAATTTAATACTCTCTAGTGTCAAAAGCTGGATCAAATGAGCTCCTAAGAAGTTCTTCCAATTCTTCAACTTTCAACAAATCATATTTTATATAAGCAATATTAATCTTTTATTAATAATGTTTATCATTTCAACTTCTTGTTTCCAGCAGACTTTATGAAGATAATGTGTAATACTTTTTTCTTTTCCTCTTTCTCTTCTCCCCCATAACCTTCCAAAAAAAACAAGTTTATGTATTTGTCTCAGACAGTGAATCCAACTAAGCAATTTAAAACACATCTATGCATTAAATCTCTGTGTCAAGCTCATTATTTGGGGTCTCTACTTTTGGAAGGAGGTTCTTCTGGTGTTTGCCTGGTGAATGTGGGGTGGGATGCAAGAACATCAGAAGCCTCTTGTGGGGGTGAAAATTATAGCTTTAATATTTGTGAAGACAAATCGTGAAAATTTTGGCTTGCCAACATTTTGAACCACTCAGTCATTTTTGTACTTGCCAGGCAGGCTATGATTAAGAGTTTGCTGCCACCCTGATCACCTACAACCACTATTATTGGGGAAATAGTTGAAATACTTAGTAAGACATCCTTCTTGACAAAGGTAGATACATATGGCATCTTCGTTATTTTCTTTTTTGCTCAATTTAGCTGTAATGTCTTAGTCATTTAAAAAAAAGTTGTGACATATTTTTCTCTTTAAATTCATCATAAAGGAATTTTCAATATATATAGTGAGCTTTTTGCTAAGATTTATTTTTTTCTTTATTTTCTCTAAGCCCTGGCTCCCATATTTTTGCTTTCAGCTAAAGGTTATCTGCTTGGTGCTTTCAGCTGAAATGAATTCGATCTTTTCAGTACAGACATAGACTTAAATTCAGTATAATGATTTAAAAATAAAGTGGTAATCCCTGGAATTTCTATTATGTTTTGGCTTAGGTGACCTTATCTTTAAGCAGCCTAATGATTATCTTCCTGGTTTTATCATTTTATCTTGGTTATGAATCCTTTCTATTTATTTCACCATTATCGGTACCTTCCTTTGGATTTCATTTCTTCATGTTTTGTTAAGTGTACAAATATTTTTGGTACAGCAAGTTTAAATGAACCTTTAACTATTAGATAACTTTTGGTAGAGTGTTAGAGTAAAAGTAAAGGATTTATTTTCATGTATATATAAAGGATTCCTTTATAGTGAATATTAGAAAAAGTTCTCCACCTGTTTGGAAGGAAAGATGAGTCTTCATTTTCTGAAGATGGAATCAGAAAACATAAACAAAACAAGAATTTGAAGGCCATATTATTGTTTAGGAAGAATCCTTATGTGTCATCTGGTTTTATGTTGAGGTTATTTGTTTCACACATAGAACAAACCCATAAATTTTTGCTGACTGAAAAGCTTGACATTTTTTTTACTTGTGGTGATTCCATTTGATGTGGTTCTAGTTCTAATTGACTCAATCCACTAACTCAGAAGAGGCAAAAACAAAAGTGGAGGAGAGAGCCATAACAAAGTGGAAATGATTATATCTAAGGTTTTCTCCTTAGTACAGTGTGAATAATAACATGGTAGGCTTGATCAATTTGAGGAGGTAGGGAGAAATCTGTAGTAAAAACTTTCTAAAAATTGTTGTAAATTTCTTTCACAGTCTGACTGCCCATACTCAGAAAAAGTTCCAAGTATTAAAATTCCAATGGACATCATGGAACAGCAGCCTTTCCTAAGTGATAGCAAACCTTCTGACAGTGAGTAGAACTAACCTCTTGCATGCCTGCTTGAATATGATTTGCACTTACAGAGAAAATGCTTTAGCATTGTCATCTACATTAACTTTCTTTCTATTTTCTTTCCTTTTTACTATGTGAAGATTTACAATTAATTATAAAACTCCACTTTTACTTTCCCTGAGGTTCACTCTTAACTTCTTCCTTTTATTCATAACTATTAAAGGGTTTTTTTTTGGTAATCTCTCTGATTCAAGTAATGACCAATTTCAAATTTCCATTGCTAAACTCATAACCATGATTTAATTGATTTTTCTTTTTTCCACTGTTACTTAGAAATGCAGCTTATAGTACTACATCACTGTCTGTTACTGTTGGTCTTCCTTAGGCTTCAATAAAATCATTGCCAAAGGGAAATTGCTTCAAGGGTCTCTCAATGATCAATGAATCAATTATTAATATTAAGAATGTGCAATAATTGTTAGTTTTGATTAAATTGGCAATTATAAAATAGTAATATAACTTTTTAAGTATAGCCTGTATAATATATGCATTTTCTTTTAAGGAGGTTTCTTCATCCTCCTCCTCTTGTATTAAAATCACCTTTGCAACTACACTAGTCTTTCTAGAGTAATAGCCTGACAGCTAAGGTATAATGACTTCTGACATGTCACCTTTTCTTTTGTAATTGTGTTAACCGGCCACTTGAAAGGGGAAACCTCTGTAGTAATATTAGTGAATTTCTCAAGCTTTTTCATTAACAAGTAGCAATTGCCTTCAAACTGCTTTCACTTTGAGATCTCACTGGAAGAAAATATTTTTTTAGATTCAGGTGCATTTCCAGGAATTCTGATCTGCTGTAGGAGAAGAAGACAATCAAGACACTCTCTATAAGAAGTTACCAAAATTTGAGATCAATGACTATTTATGAAAAATGGGTTTATTAGTTACCTATTGCTGTATAACAAATTATCACAAAACTTAGCAACTTAAACCAACAGGCATGCCTTTTCGCACATATTCAAGGAATTTAGGAGCAGCAGATTTGGGTGGTTCTGGCTAAGGATTTCTTCCAAGATTGTCACTAAGCTCTCAGCTGGGGTTGAGTCTAAAGATTTGGCTGGATCCAGGGATCTTCTTCTGAGCTTGGATAGGAGGCCATTAGCAGGAGGATTCAGTCCTTAACTTAGAGGCATCTCCATGAGGCTGCCCATGATAGGATTTCCCTGTCATTGATAACAAAGAGAGAAACAAAAACAGAAAGTGCATTCTTTCATCATGGAATCTCAAAAGTCACACACCACCACCTCTGCCATATTATATAGGTCACACAAACTAACGTCGGTCCAGTGTAAGGAGGTGTACAATTCCATGAATACCAGCAGGCAGAGAGCATTGGGGCAACCTTGGAAACCAGCTATCACATGGGTTAAAAAACAAAGAATTAAAGAATTCTTTACAGAATTTGTGTCTAATCTGTAACCTCTACTTTTTAACTGAAGCTGTTTTTTTTTTTAATCCTTTCTATAGGATTTAGTTAATATTTTCTTTATTATTTCAAGCTTTCCGAACCATATATATTTTTTTAATCTAAAGTATTATTAGCAAAAGGACAGTATAAAGGGAGCACAGCATGTATGTGTTCTGCTGACATCATAACCTGGCACAGCCCCCCTTCTAATACAGTTTAAAGGCTATTAAAAAAAAAAATCACCAGGCATTTTTTTGCAAAAAGTTTAGACAGATTGATTATTTAGTGCTGGTTAGTCTTTGTTCTCTCAAACACCCTTTAAAAGGATACTTGGATAGATTCCTAGGAGTGGAATAGCTGGGTCACATGGAAGATCCATTTTTAATGTTTTAAGGAACATTTCCATAGTGACTGGACTAGTTTATATTCCCACCAGCAATGTACATCCTCACCAGCATTTCTTGTGTCTAACTCTTTTAATATGGACCCTTTTCACAGGTGTGAAGTGGTATCTCATTGTAGTTTGGATTTGCATTTCCTCCAAAAGCCACTAATTCTTTTTTTTTTTTTTATTATTAGATAATAAATTTTATTGTTATATTCCCCATACAATTGCAGCCCCCCCATTCTGACCCCAATCCCTCCCCTCCCGCCCCCCTAAAAGTGTCTCTGGTTCATAGTTTTTTGTTGATTTTGATTTTCACTTTCTTATAGTTATTCATTTTCCTGGTCCCTTATTTAAGTTTTCTAGATTCCTGCTATGAGTGAGACAATCCGGTATTTTTCTTTTTCTTTTTGGCTTATTTCACTGAGCATGATCCCTTCCAGCGCCATCCATGTTGCTACAAATTGCATGTGTTTATCTTTTTTGAATGCTGAGTAATATTCCATGGTATATATGTACCACATCTTCTTGATCCAGTCATCTATTTTTGGGCATTTGGGTTGTTTCCAAAGCTTAGCTATTGTGAACAGTGCTGCTATAAACATAGGGGTGCAGGTGTTCTTTGGAATTGATGTTTCTGTGTCTTTGGGTAAATTCCTAGGAGTGGAATTGCTGGATCATATGGAAGCTCTATGTTTAGTAGGTCCAGAAATCTCCACACAGCTTTCCACAGTGGTTGGACCAGTTTGCACTCCCACCAACAGTGCAGAAGAGTTCCTTTTTCTCCACACCCTCGCCAACATTTTTTGTTGCTAGTTTTTTTAATATGTGCCATTCTCACTGGTGTAAGATGGTATCTCATGGTAGTTTTGATTTGCATTTCCCTGATGACAAGTGATGTTGAACATTTTTTCATATGCCTGTTGGCCATTTGCATTTCCCCTTCTGAGAAGTTTCTTTTTAGCTCTTCTGCCCATTTTTTGACTGGATTGTTTTCTTTGTTGTTGTTGAGTCTCATCAGCTCTTTGCAGATTTTTGTGATCAGTCCTTTATCATTAGTGTTGGGTGCAAAAATGTTCTCCCAGTTGGTGGGGTTTCTCCAAAAGCCACTAATTCTAAATGAAACCTGCACCCTATGTTTATTGCAGCATTACTTACAATAGCCAATATATGGAAACAACCTAAATGCCCCAGAACATGAGTGATTCAAGAAGATGTGGTACATATACACAATGAAATACTACTCAGCAATCCAAATAAGATAAGCTCATGCCATTTGCAGCAACATGGATGGAGCTGGAAGGGATTATGCTAAGTGAAATAGGTCAGAAGGAAAAAAAGATAAATATCAGATGGTTTCAATACATGTGTAACACAGAGATGCCAGACAAAGAATAAGACAAAGATAAACCTTAAAAGCTGACCATAGATGTGATGCACCCAGGAGGAGACTGGGAGGGGTGAAAATAGGGTGGGGGAAGAGCACAAGAGACTATGGTGATGGACTATGGGACTATGGATGCCTTGGTGATGGGAGAATTATGGTGACCACATCTGAGTGTAATCATATATTGTCCAAAAATTAACATAATAGTAGATTAGACATTTACTTAAGCAAAATACACATGATCATTCTAACTGTAATATTTTCTGATGTCATTAAACATTTATAACCCATGAAAAAACAAAATTGATAGTAGAGTAGCAGTATAAGTAGTTTCCTCAGCCTCCCCCACCCCAATAACAGCAAGACAAACTAGTAAAAGGGGAAATCTAAGGGCAAGCTTTCGATATTAAGTTGATGGTATCACCCTCTAAAAATAATTTGCCTCCTTCCTCCTCACTAAATACAACAATGGTTGTTCATGCCAGAAATCCTAGAGTAAAGGAAACTAAGTCAGGCTTCATTGCACTACTTAGATTCTTAGTTTGATATGATGTTTATTGAAATCGTTTAAACTTATCTTTCTTAACTCTTTCCAGTTGTGAAAGAGTCTTCAATGTTTGCAATGATTTTTGTTTTCACTTTAACTTTATCGCTTACCAAAGACTACCAATTATAATTTAAAACAATTATTTTTTTTCCAGGAGAAAGATCACCAACATTCCTCGAACGCCACACATCATGCTGATAAAATTCCTTTCCTTCAGTCACTCGGTTTGCCAAGGTAAAGGATAGCCCAGCATTTTACCTAGTTCTGTGGTCTGATTGACCCACAGAAATGTAATCAATGGTAGGTTATTGGCAGAACACCTTGTTCTCCTTCCTCGCTACAATTTCTCTTAAATAAAATTACCCAGTGGCCAAACCTGGTCCCAGCTGTCACTGGTGGAACCTATTCTAAGACCTGCTTTACTTATTCTTAGAAATATTTCTGTATTACTAATGTAAAATCCAGAATCCATGGATTCCATTTCAGTATTATCTCTGATTTAAGGGGTGACTGGCATTTCCTAGAAAGTCTTCTCCAGTTGTTTCTTTCCCTTTTAACGAGGCACTAGAAATTTCAGATCTTACTTGATTTTCAAAACAGTAGAATATCTGAATATTTTCTTCATGTCTTTTTGTCCTTCAGTTTATGACAGTGTTGCCCACTTGCAGTCCTCTTCTTTCTGTTTTTTTTTTTTAATCTAGATATGAAAACGTTATGAAATTTTTATTTGAATTTCTTGACTGTTGGTATCATCATCTCATTTAAAAATACTTTAAATACAGAAGGAAAAGGGCCTACCCTGGTGGCGCAGCAGTTGAGCACTGGGTGGCGAAGCTGCCCACAGCCTCTGTAGCGCTGGTTCAGTCCCCAGCCGACCGCAAGGGTCCCACATGGAGTGACAGACCCCTCCTGCCATGCCCGCTGCTCCCCTCAGCAGTGTATTTTGTCAGTCTGCCTGTTCTGTTCCCCGCTCTGGCTCTGGGGAATTCTCTCACCCTCCACACTTCTGACTGTACCTAGTGCTTGTATTAATAAATAAATAAATCTTAAAAAAAAAAAAAACTTCACATTTAAAAAAAAATACAGGAGGAAATAAGTATTTACAGAGAACAAATAATGACACATTGGCTTCTTCACAATGCATAAATATTAGACAGATGATAAAGAAAATTTGACTTACTTACCATTTCTTTTTTTCTTTTCTCTAGTCCTCCTAGAACTCCAGTAAAAGTTGTGCCTCAAATTAGAATAGAACTTGAGCCTGAAGACAATGATTATTTCTGGAGGAGCAAGGGAACAGAAACTACATTGTAACCTGTCTTTCTTAAAAACTGATAGTTGGTTAACGTTCTTGTTTTTTGTCTGGTTGTTTATTTTTTAATTTTTGTTTTGTTTTGATTTTTGGTCATTGGCCAAATACTACAGCGCTCTCTCTGCTTCTCTCTTGCATAGGTAAAATCAAGACAATAGTGCATCGCTCCTTAAAAACATCTGAAGAATCCCCTTTTGTTCATATATTTTCTGATGTGTACTCCGACATCCAAATTCCTTGTCACTCAAGACACGCACAGACCCTGTCCTTTTCCTTTATTAAGCAGAGGGCAAAAGTATTAAGGATTTTATAACACCTTTTATTAAAATGCTGAAGGAACTTACAACTTTAGCTTTGGAGCTGTGCTTACTGGCTTATCTTTCTGTCCGGTAGAACAAACCTTGACCTCCAGACAGAGTCCCTTCCCGCTTATAGATCTCTCCAGGACTGGAAAAGTGCTGCTATTCTTACTTGCTCTGCTTATGAACCCCAATCTTAGAGTTATCAAAACAAGAAAAACTAAAGGTACTTTACTCCCTGTAGAGAAACTATTGCCATCATTGTAGCAAGTGCTGGAATGTCCCTTTTTCCTATGCAACTTTTTTTAACCCTTTAATGAACTTATCTGTTCAGTACATCGAGGAATATTTTTCTTCCTAGATTTTGTTGTTTAAATTATGGGGCCTAACCTGCAACTTATTTTTTGTCAATTTTTTAAACTTTTTTTTAATTACTGTAAAGAAAATGAATTTTTTCCTGCAGCAGGAAACATAGTTTTGAGTAGTTCTACCTCTTATTTGTAGCTGCCAGGCTTTCTGTAAAAATTGTATTGTATATAATGTGATTTTTACACACATGTACACACACACAATCTCTAGGGTAAGCCACAGGGCTGGATCAGATTATAAACACCATGTTTCTAAGCATCCATTTTTCCCTTTCTTTAAAAGAAATTTAACTGTTCTATGAAGGAGGTTGGGGGAGCAGGGAGAAGAAGCTCCTGTGTCATGGGGATAACTGATGTTTCGATAGTAGTATCTGGGCACAGATGCTGATGTATTACCATACCCATGTGCTATACAGTATTGTTAGATTTTTTTTCATTTTGAAATATGTGTGTGTTTATGTATGTACTCTGTGTGTGGCTGGTGCACAAATGTGCAAAGTTAGAAAAAAGAGTGATGGTAGGGAAAGGGCAAAGTTATCAGCCTCTTGTACTGTTTTTCATGAAACCCAAACCACATATGAAAAACCCACCAGACATCCAAGAGACTTATAATTATGCAAATGAGGATAAATATCTTTTGTTATCCAGATATCAGTTACCATCACTGAGACAATAGCCCATATTTACGATATGAAATCCCATAGAAATATTAATAGACTATTTGCACATCTATTATGTGTTCATGAAAATGCAGATAGAGCTGCAGAGGTCTAAGAGTAACCATTTTAACAATACTCACACATATATTTTAGGCTGGAAAGGCAGTTATTCCTATGATTGGACATTTACAATATATATGTGTACATATATGTGTGTATGTGTGTTTCGGTACCATATCAAAGGTTAGAAAGCAAAATTAGATCTTCATTAACTAAATTTAGCATGTTATTTAAATGTAATATTTTTAATAGGATGCATTATATATTGTGAATGTGCATTAAACATTAGCCTTTTGAGTGTTGGATCCATAACGCCGGGTTCATATAACCACATTTGGAATATCCTAACAAAAACTGATTGGTGGAGCACTAGAGGCAGATCGAAGCCACTTTCTTTTGGTTTCATAATATGCACTCATTCTTATATTAATTAAGTTATGATTCTTTCCTCTTGCAATTTTGATTATAACAAACTTTATCCTGAATAGCTATTACTTTTGTGGTATCTGATACTCTTAAAACTTTTTATTTTATGCTGTGCAAATCAGGCATAAATGAACTATAATTTTTTCATTAAAATGAAAGTGGCAATTTACATGTTATTTGTTAAAACTCCACATGCTAGATTTTGATATCAGGGTTATTTTAGAGCTGTCCTTAAAATGATTATTCTATATGATCTAATATTTCATTGCCTTAATATAAAACTGCATAAGAAGCTTTTCCTTACTGATGGAAGCATCAATAAAATGTCTAAAAGTCATACATAATTAAGTTCAGCCTAACCTATGATCTTCATAGACACTTTTATTTGCTTTTCTAAAAACTCTAGATATATATTTTTTCTTATCATGAATCAAGTATTTGAGGATTCATGACTCTCTCTGTCCCTTTCAAAGAACTCCTGAAGCAACTTAACTCAGTATTTCAGTCTTTGAGTAGATCTAAAAGCCGCCTGCACCTCTACAATTTGTATTATATGAGAGAAGGTTGATATTCATGATATGAATGCAGAGGAGTACTTTGCTTTTGCTAAAAGGAATAGTTAATATCAAATTCTTCCAATATTTTGGAACCCAGGGAAGTTTTTAAAACATCACTACTTTCACAACTAATCAGATTTGGGGGTGGTTTGTTTCTGTGTCAAAATACGCAAAATCCAATGGTCAGTTTTTCAAAAAATGTTTCTAATGTGAATACAGAGACCAAAATTCAGTTTGTTAGAAATGAAAGAGTTGGTGCAGATTCAGAGTTATCTTCCGGAGGTTGCAAGATTGTACAAATTTATCATTGGAAGGAAAGAGATCACTAGGCCTAGAATTTGCCATTATCAGAGCATAAAAGTCTCTGGTTTTGCATATGAGAAATAAGGTGTTGGAGGCACTATTTTCCTTGATAAAAGTCAGTTTTCTCTAATATGTAAAACAATGGTTTGGAAACATAATTATTGTGTGTGCCAAAGGTCATAGTGTTTTCGTCTCTTCTTCCAGTCAAGCAGTGCAGTGGGCTTGGGTGCGTTTGGACTCTTGAAGTAGGAAAAAAAATACCCTCTCTAATCAGTCCCCCACCTCAAAGAGTGGAGGGGGGGAGCAATTGTTTGCCATCAGTAATTAAGTTTGTGTATATTTTATGCACATGCACCAACACACACAGAGTAAATTCTTTTATCTCTATTTAGTGATGTTTAATACAGAAAATGAATGTCTTCCGAGTTTTTGGTTCTTTTATTTTTTAAAACTGTGTTAAAGTACTTGAACTGTATGACTGCTGACTCTCTTTAAAAAAAAAAAAGACAAAACCATTTGAGTTGTTTTATAGAGGTTGACATTGTTCGGGGATGGGACAAAGCTTTCTTCAATCCTTTCATACCACTTAATGATTTTGGTGCAAGAACTTGAATTTTTTTCTTTATTCCATAATATTTGACATCTGCTCTTCACAACTTGAGTATGAAGCCCAGTGGCACCAAGTGGCTGAATACAATTAAATGCTATTTTATAGCACTTGACTCTGAAGAGTTTGGGGAGTTTTCAGATGATGACTTTATTGAGCTCCATTGCAGCCTAAAATAAAAAATAAAAAAAAAAAAAAAGGTTTGTGGTGTATGCTAACCAGCCAAGTTGTGTTTCAACCAGAAATTTGGATATGTACTATTTATTTCTTGGCTCCTTTTTTTGTGCTCTATGGGTACATACAAAAATCCTGAATTCTGTTTCCTAGGCAAATATTGCAACTCAGGGCTAAAGTCATCCAGTGAAACTTTTTAGAGCCAGAAGTAACTTTGTCCCAGTCCTACAATGTGAAAAGAGTGAATAGTTGCCTCTTTTTAGCCATGTTCATGGCTGGTACATATCCATTCACATTACTTTTCAGAATCAATACGCACTTTCTGATATTCTTATTTTTATTCTCTTAAGTCTTTATTAACTTTGGAGAAATGATGCATCTTTTTATTTTAAATGAAGTAGATCAACATGGTGGAACAAAATGATAAAGAACAGAAAACATTTCAATATATTACTAATAATTTTTTCCAATATAAAACCTAAAATTCCTATAACATTATAGTATTTTACAGTTTTATGAAGCTTTCTATTGTGACTTTTATGGAATTAAGAGATGAAGAAGATGAGATATTTTAGCATTTATATTTTTCAAAATTAAATGTATACTTAAAATAAAGTAACTTTATGCATTTATGAGTGTCAATTGCTTCTGTTCAACTCTTCAAATAATTATTAAGTGCCTCCTGTTTTACTCCTTTGGGTGCCATGGGGGTTACAAAGATGAGTCAGTCTGAGTCCCTGATCTCCGATTGCTTTTAATCACTCCAGTCAGGAGGATAAAATGCATCCAAATTGCATAATATCAGATTATAAAATTTAATCAAGTCTTAATGAAGTGCTATCATGCTTGGTTCAAAGCAAGGAAAAATATGTCCAACTAATAGCAATAGGAATGGATTTATTGAGATGGTATTGTTATCCTTTTACAATGTTAGTGAAATGTAAATGACAGTTTCTTGAATTCAAGATAGCATATATAGTAAATTCTCAAAGTAAAAGAATTTGCTAAGCACAAGCCTCTAAAAAATAACAATTGAAATGATATAGAGAAACCAAACAAAGGATCAGGAAAAACACGAAACTTGCAAACTGATCATAGATCTGAGGCATACAGCAGGGAAGAGGGAGGAGCACAAAGGGACTGTGGTGCTGGATCACAGATGCTATGGTTGTGGAAGAACTACAGGGACTACACCTGATAGGAAAATCAAATACTGTCCAAAAATTAATAATGTAAGAAAATAAAAAGTGTTCAAACAAACAAAATCTGGAATGGTTCTCCTTATAAGAATTTGACACGAATTTCCTGTGGGGCCTATCCAGGCTTCCATGTGATACTTACAGTCCCTAGAAATCTTCATTTGAGCCCTAAATTATAATTAGAAAATGGTGATGGAGAGGGGACAGAGGGAGAGGAATAAATAGAAGGAATGAGAAAGAACCATTGCTAACAGAAGTTACGCTGGAAAAAACATAATGAGGCAGTGATATTGGCTATAACAATCTTTTTTGATTAGGAAACTATAGAAAAGTTTATGAGCATCTTGGTGGTAGTGATGATATTGGAGGATCAGGAAGAGGATTTAATTTTTTTTACCAAGCTGGGAGCAGAAATTGCACTCAAAATAGATCATTATATGAGAAAATTTGATTCTTCAATATCACACAAGGGATTCATTAAATATAGACATGTGTAATGATAGCTTAGTAAAGAAATTAGGAACAAGTTATATTTAGCAGATTATGGAAAGAAAGTGTGCACTTTAGCAATTCTTCATTATGCTACTTAATCTGCCTGGGAACAGGGAAGAAAAACAGAAACTTCTGATTTCTTAAAATATTAAAAATAGATGTACATGATTCTGCAGTCCCTCTCCTAGAGGATACAAATGCACTAATTCAAA